AGACTAAGAAGGATAATCAATCCATCATGGTTGGACGGCCGAGCAGAAAGCGATGAGCGCGTGCCAATGCAAGCACCGAGTGTGCCAATTTTAACCAATTGATGAGTTTAAGGACTTTTTGTTTGTAGCAGGCTACCGCCCGATGGACGAGTATCTAGCACGATTGGCAATGCGTACAGGCTTACATCAGTTAGAATAGATGCAATGTGGTTTCATTAAAAGTTTTTTAGCGAGTCACTAGTAGTAAAACTGTATCACAAATGCTGTTATTGCGCATTGGAAAGCAAAGGCACGACTTGAAACCGATACCTATTAAAAGTAGCGTACAGTATTTGAAATTCTCATAACTCAAAAACTCGAAGAAGAAATGGACTATAAGAGAATGGATGACGGCGAGGACTTAATGCATTTTGTTAGAGAAGAGTGCACAAGATAAATGTTTCCTCGACGTAATTTACGCTGTTATATTGTTTAAGTTCAACAATGGAAAAGGCCATATCGAGCGCAATTAGTCCAACCCTACTTATATGCCAACAATTTTATGCTGGTCCGTTATGTTATCGCATAGCAGTACATGCTCTTATTCCTTGTTGCGTTAGAATTAAGAAAGGGACTTACAAGCATTCTGCAACCCAAGATTGGCGGATGGAGAACGCTAAAGATCGCCAGTTACTTCATTCTGAATAGGGCAATTCAGCCATAATAGTCAGTTACGGGAAACTGGAAAACTACAGAAATCACGAGTTTTGACCACACTGCAAGTATTTCTGCTTGAAACGGCAGTGAAGAAGACAGCTTTAACTGACCCCCAATCAGCGCCCATATTGCTCTGTACAGTGAGGAATTAAGTGAACTGATCGCGCACTTAGCTTCGACTGCAAAAAAGGGCTATTGGAGAGCCAAGACACCAGACATGCTTTGATCAAGTCCGGAAGATCGGATGCGAAAGGGGGCGCTGGTGGCTGGTGCTGCCCTAGGCATGCCAAAACACCTGTGTCAACGTGTAGACTAGCATTCAAAAACACAATCGAGAACGAACAGGCAGGCGTTCTAATGGACCATTCGTGGTGATTGAGATGTTAGAGGGCGTCAACCGTAGCTCCACAAAAACGGTTTTGTTGACCAAGTAAACTGTCGTACCGGGTTGTCCGGTACCGCACCACGCAGGAGATTGTATATATGAATATATGTTGAGGATAATTCTCAGTAACCATATTTTTGCATTTCTACAAGGATTTAAATTCCATACTTCTGAATCATCCAGTAACAAGACTAATTCGGCCACAAATTGACTCCAATAATGACAATATATCGCAGCACGGTTCACTTTGAAGATGTGAGCACGTATGTCATCTTTTATTGTAATACTCTATAAGGAATCGCGCCCTAGTAGGTGAAATGTTTAATGATGGCGTATGTTTAAACAC